TATATATATATATATATATGTGTGTGTGTGTGTGTGTGTGCGTGTGCGCGTGAGTGCGTCTATATATATACATATATATATATATATTCATGTATACAGAAATAGACATAAATGTCTGCTTTTATTAAAGAAAGTATATTCATAAATATAATCCCATTATTGGCTCCTAGTTTTGGGTGCAAGATTAAAAACTGGTTTGATTAAGATGGGAGAATTTATCAGCCCAGCGCTTTGGTGCGACCTAGTATCAAGCAAGCTACCAGAATGGTAATTTAAATCCTAGACATCGGTACGTGTTAAACATACACAAACATCACAGCTATACTAGATAAACGAGTCTTCTGTTTGCACAAGCTTCGCTCATTAGTATCCGATGTATATGCATAAACATGTATAGATATGAATAGATACACATACATACAAATAAGGCAAAAATACATACTTTCCACTCCCTGTCCAGGCCTCAAGTTCTTGTATTGGTTCGAATTCAAGCGTAGAGGTGACCAACACAACGCCCTGGTGCGGCTTATTCTCCGACAGACTGTGCAGCTTGCCCTTACTAACGTAACTCACGGCAACCCCATCCGCTTCAACGAATTCGATCACTTTGCCGATCATTTCTTTTCTATAGAGAGAGTCGTATTCAAGGAATAGGTGGGGTTATATACGCGAAACATACACATCATAGGTATACCTAGTGCGTGATGTATATACAGCATAGGCATATATAGTAGACATATATAGTAAGGGCATAGACTTCATGGGCATGCTTAGACATCACAGGCATATATAGTAAGTGATAGTAGACGTGTATAGTAAGGGCATAGACTTCATAGGCATGCATAGACATCATAGGCATATATAGTACGTGATGGATACATATCATATGCCTATAGTAGTGCATGGTACACGATTGGGAGTGGAACCAATGTATATGCGAACACTTGTACCGATCTATGTATTAAAATACAGTGGCAGGCGAACCCACCTACACACAGACACACCACTATAACAAGTTGGGGACCAAATAGTCCACCCTGTGCGACGCAACGTATTTACCGCAAAACTCGGTAAACGTATACGTAATGGGTATATATAGAAAAGTACTTGGTTGAATCTTCCCATTTTAATAAACACAAAAGATTCTGTATACTGGCTGCTTCCAAGATGTATGAAAATCGGTAGTGTTCGTTGCACTACACTCTAGCGATATACTGATATCCAAGATGCGGTTGGTCTGTGGACACCGTACTTTACAGAGCCGGCTTAGTGGAAGAGCTGATAGCATAGATGATTGAATACCATACATACACACTCACCAAATTGTGCTGAAGACAAATTGGCCACAGAATGTGCAAAACACTTCACAAACCCAACGCCCGGGTTTCAAAAAACAACATTGTACAAAGGTCGCCTGCGGATATGAACCTTTGCCTCACTAGTCTCCAAAACAATCATGTTCTGACACCCCTTCACATAATAGTAGAGAGAGTATAGAGCAATTATATATTACGCACCACATTTAAGCAAGAGATCTGAAAGGCGTGTTTCGATCTTATTTATGTACCACAGTCGTATTGATTCTAATGTTCAGTTATCCAGAGAGTCACATTTGGTTGGATCGGTTTATGTACTTATTTGACCCCACCAGCGATATATATATATATATATATATACATACATACATACATACATACATAAATATATACATACATACATACATACTTAAAAACATACATACAGACATACATACATACATATATATACATGCATAAATAAATAAATACATACATACATACATATATACATACATACATACATACATACATCCATACATACATACATACATACATATACATGCGTAAATATATACATACATACATAGTCATCAGAACATATATATATATATATATATATATTTATATATCAACATACGAATCTGGTTTAGCCCACCAGTTATCGACAATGTACGCGTGATAGATCCGCCGCCTTTTGCTGGTTAGTGCATTCGTAACGGATGCCAGACCAAAGACAAGTTCATCTTCTCCATAGCCTGCAATGCCCGACATCTGTCGACTCGTCTCATTATGTACACGTCTAGGATGCCTTGAAAGTACACTACCATCTGTCTGAACACTACAAATACTATGATAGCATGGGAGGCGTCCCTTTGTAGTCGACGGAACTGCAGAAAATGCTCTAGTACTTTGTTGTGTGTGCATACTACATACTACCGAACGGGGTCGAACTATATTACTTGATATAGGTTTACGTAATTGGTTTCTGGTATTATTGCCTGTGGCTACCACAGGTACCAGTCTGTGTACATAAGCGCTCGAATACGGCTGTAACGGGCCAAAAGAGAGTCGGTTGTATTTGGGCCCAAGCATTCTAGTGACCGTTTGTCACGATATGATTCTCTGGTGATATATGTGTTTTCAAATGCAATCCGATGTTCTTCCACAGATGTAACCGATGTAGCATATACTGCTTAACTGGTCGTGTGTTTAGATGTACTTGTAGTTTACACGAGGACTTCTTGTATACATGTATATAAAGATCACCTCTTGATGGCGTCTCTGCGGGAATTTAACAATTTTCGATGACACGACGTGGCCCAGACGGCCATGACTTTATTGTATTCGATACTATTTTAGGGTTTTAGGGTTTTGGACGCATGCTGAACTGTATAATACTGGAACTCAAATGAAAGCCAGAGGCAGAGTGAAAGTTACAGAAGGCTGAAGTGGCTATCACTAAGCTGAAGACGTGGAAGGAGCAAAGCAGGATGATCGTACATCTGTCCATAGCCCTCACTTAACAGGAAGTGACAATCATTAAAAACTGCGACCACGAAGCTTGACTTTTGGTTTTTCGACCACCATGCATGACGCATAAGGCTGACGCGTTGTAATTGCGACTTAAAAATTGCATCCACTACGTTTTATGCATACGCTTGCGATCGCTGAACAATAACGCGTCAGATATAGTGGTTTAGACTTAATGGTCGCAGTCGTATCAAATCTTATTAATATACACTGATTATCATTGGATTGATTATTTTATGGCCAAATTGTCCGAGAATATGGATATTTACACGGGGTTCTACATTTAAAAACGAAATTAGCATAACCACGAACACAAATCGAATCGCATCAGCGCGCTCAGGCAGAAAGACCGGCCCAAGAGAAAGACAATTATGGTATTTATTTAAATAAATATACTTGATATAAGTCGTCTGCTTCACATTTTTTTTTGAAAAACATTAATAAATGCACGTCATCGCTAATTGAACTGTCGGCCTGACTGTATTGTCTATCTGTGTCTCCGCGTCTACGGACAGAGTGAGTGTTATGAACCTGACAGCACACGTTCACTTCTGAGACACGCCGCGAAAGAATAGACATCTGCCTCAAGACTAACAACCACCCTGTGATTTCACAACGACCGGTAAACTAAACTACTCATCTTATTCAGCCAGAGTCGCCTATGAGCTTGAAACGGTCCATACCAGTCTCAAGCTTCTGTATCCGTGCGGTTCCGAAGCAGTATGCGCTTACAAATTTTTCAGGGTCGTCCACCAAACCATCTTTCAATGACTGAGACAGGCACTATGAATGCCCGAGTTTGCTAAGTATCGGCCTATATACATATATCCATGTATCCATATATACATGCATATGTTTATATATATATATATATATATATATATATATATATATATATATATATATATATATATGTGTGTGTGTGTGTGTGTGTGTGTAGT